TTAACACAATCAACTGACTGAACAGGTGTGGTTATACATTATTTTAATAGTATTATTTACAAAAGTTTAAGGCGGTATCACATTTTTCTGTGTTTAATTAAAAAACCTGGTGTGAAAGAAGAAATAAACGTCACTACAAATTTATGCTGAATGTGAAAGTAGCATCATATTTATAAAAGAAAATTCTATGTTCAAAAAAGGATAATATGTAAAGCATATCAAAAATAAATGGTTTAAGATAATTGAATTTTCTCTAAGTATAATAACTGTTTAATAAATATAAGTTATAAAGAAGAAACTGCTTTACCTTGGAAACGATAAAATATTTAAATATTTGCAAGTGGACACGTTAGGAAATAAATTATAATTAGATTAGTTGATAAAGCACCTACATAAACAAATTTTTGTGGTAAGTCTATATAATTCAGTAAAATCAGTAAAAAGGTATCGACAACAGACGTAAACAACCCCAAATATTCCATAATGATATATACTATAGATTACACAAATTTAAAGAATGTCATCGAAGTCCTAGATTTTCTGGAGTCGTCAGGAATTAAACCACCTAGGAGAGCTATCAAATATAAAACCAATAAACAAACAAAGGCAGGTATTTATTCAGGAGGAAATCAAAAAGCTTCAATATACTCATCCGACACCATAAAAAATTTGCTTACTCCAAAACCAACGTAATGTTCAAACGAAATAATCCAAAAAGCAAATTACAATGAAATAAAACCAAAATATGATATATTTAGTGTAATATTTTATGTCACAATAAAAAGGTTTGAAAATTATTTGTGACTTGGTTTACGATGAAACTTTTTACCATTACCATTATTAAATTAAATATAATTTGTACCTGGTTTAATTTTTATGGGATATACAGGGTGTTCCACTTAAGGCGATTTCGTCCATGACTGTTAATAAAAAAAATGTTTCAATGAAAGTGGTCTGGAATCATATGCTGTATATACAGAAAATATTGTCATTCATACAAAGTGTTCCATTTATTGTGGACCCTTTCTAATTTCATTATTTTAAATAGGACACCCTGTATTTATTTACATTTTTGGTTTCTCTGTTTAATTTTATTTGACTTTGTTAACAGTTTCCTGCACTTATGGCTAGTAATTTTTGAGAAATTCAACTGTTTTTTTTTTTAAATATGAATTTAAGAATGAGACCAAATAGCATCTAAACCATAAAATTTCAGAGCCGGAAATGTCGAAACCTGCTTTTGACAGTCTTATAAGACAAATAACTTTTTTTTTCAAATCGAATGACTAATATTAAATGATACCAATCGATGCAAAATTAAAAACTTTTTCTAATGATAAAAGGTTTTAAATATAAAATAATCGATTTTTTCTGAAAAACTGTCAGAGATAAATATTTAAAAAAGTGTTTAATTTTACAGCAAACGGTATCACTTAATATTGGTCATTCCATTTGAAGTTGTTCGTCTTATAAGATTGTCAGAAGCAGGTTTCGATATTCCCAGCTCTAAATACATAATGTACAGATTTCTCCATTATGATTCCAGATCACTTTTATAAAAGCATTTTTTTTTATTAAATGTATAACAGAGTTATGAACGAAATCGCCTTAGGGGCAACACCCAGTATATACACATTAAGTATATCACATTTACTCACAATTTATCAATTTTCTTTTGGGTAAAACTAGCAAAAAAGCAAATTTTCGAATTCGCATTTATTTAATATTTCTAAGGTAGGTACATCGATTTCAACGTTCATAACATTAAAATAAACAATTAAATCGTTTCAACATTCATATTTATTTAAAATTTTACTGTAACTTTTTCAATATCCGTCGTGATTATGCTACATACAATCGTAACAATCAATGACTTTTCATTAAGTTCTTTTCCAACGAGAAAACATCAAATGTTTAGATGTACTCAGCAAAAAGTATCCAGTAAGTACAATTTAATAGAAAGAAAAGTAAAGGAAATAATACTCGGGAGCATTTATCAATTTTCAAAGCTCTATTTCTTGCTTTTTGGGCAGCCGTCGGTGGAGGGGGTAATTTCGGAGCTCCAGTCAATAATAAAGCATTTTCTTTACCGGGAAATTCGAAAACGTTTTCACGTTTCGGGGGAACGGTTTGGGGCGGTGCTGGTGGTTTCGGAGCATCCGAATCTCCTAATACTATATTGACTAGACAGTATTCCATTAACGCCAAAAATACAAAACTGAAACATAAGCAGATATACCATATTGGTATTAAACATAAAAATACAAAATGTACAGACATTGCATTGTCTGAAATCCTGTTAGATTTTTCAAAATTATCATCATTGAAATTGACGAATGAAGCGAAACTACATAGTTTATTTAAACTTTTAAATACCTTGAAGTCATGATTCTGGAAGTCTCTTTGTTCGAATGGTTAATTGTATACTATAAATTTTTTTTCATTATCACCAACACTTGTTGGACACGCAATTTCACTTGTTCCTATTATCTCAAGTCAATCTTCACATTTTTCGAAAAATATTTTAAGCTAATCTCTCACTATTTCCGAATAGTAATCTAATCTAAATCAACCTTTACCTCTCTTAACTCATGTTTCTGCTTCTAATATGTCTCTAACTAACTCTCTACCAATCAATCTCGCGCCTACTTCCTATTGACTTATAACAGACCCTCTGCTCTCCAACTCTTTTGAATACCTTCCCATTTCTAACCTTTTTTATTCACAATATTTTTAACATCCTCACATGACAACAAACTCAAAAACTTCTAAACTTCTTCCCTTTACCTGGATGCGCCGTGGCAAAATTTAAATGATTTTCGTCTTGATCACGCCTAGTGCGTATTCATTCTATTCGCTCAGATTTTCTCAAGGTCACATCTTTAACCTTTTAAAATAGATTGTAAAATTAACTTCTCTATCCCTCAAGGATAGTATGTTTTTTTTTTTATAAAACCTGCCCTATGTCCTTTTCTATACCCCTAACATTGTGTGTACAAAATTTCATGATGATTGCTTGAGTAGCTAAAGCTTGAAAAAACAAACTCACATTCGCTATTATAATATTAGTTAGGATAATATTTGTGTGGACAATTAAAACAATTGTTTGAAACATCGTTTCAGTAATCTAAGGGGTTTTAATAATATTTGTTTAAATTTAGCGGTTACTTACATTGTACATACTGACATGAATGCGTCTACAGCTTTCAAATACGAAACTGGTGGCAAAGATGCTTGGCTTTTGGCATGTTGGGTTGAAAGTGTAAGCAATGAAGTTACACCTAAAGTAACTCTTGCCGGGGCAGCTTCCGGTTTAATCCAAAAGGAAACCCACTTAAAAGGTAAACGAACATGATACATAAGAAACGGTAGAAGAAAGTAATTAAAACAATGATGCAAAATAACTTATGCAATAAGCGTAAGTTGCAATAACGGGCAAAAGATAGTCCAATAATACTAAGATTATTGTGATCTTCTGATGGAGAGTTAGTACACATATAGTTGAGACGTTCAAAATTGGCATAGTCTACAATAAAACTGTTGCTTTTACTTTCTTCTTTGAACTTACTAACTAGACTAGAGCAGTTGCTGACAGAACACCTACTATTACTCAGGACAGACGTTATAGGCAATATTGTGAACATAGAAAAAAGATGTCAGATAGGAATTGCAGCGGACACTAATAAAGAAGAAGCAATAACACTACACCATTTGATGTGTAACAGAAAGAGATGCCGACAAGCATAATTTGAGCATGTTGTCAGTATCAGACTTTATAGAAAATTCAACATTCTCAGGAATTTAGGAAAGTAATGACGCTTGCTTAAACATGTAATTCCAATTAGGCAGTATTAACGTACCTAACCAACCTCTAAGCTATATACCGCTTACTATTATTCAGTTATCTCTTTTCACTTGTACGTACTCCTCATGAAGTATTTCCTAACTTAACAAAGGCGTCATCAAAAGGCAGCAAATGACTACCTACAGTCCCAAATGGAAACAAGAAAGGAGATATATCCATTCTAAGAGAAATTTATTGCGGACTTTGCTAATTTTAATCGTTCCAACTATAAAGGTACCAAAAGTAATTACTTATTTTTTTGATTAGCAACAGTCTTGCAGATTAGTATTGTGCCTGATGAAATGTAGCAGATAGATATGGTTTCTATCTTGTACTTGTCGATTACCTAACCTAACATTTGGTCTTAATTTTGATAATGAAGATATAGTCCTGATTTTGCGCAGGACCGATGTTGGGATCAATTAGTAATTAGTGGATAATTGCTTACCGACATAATAACTATTAAACAAGTTGGGACGTATGTGTGAAACAGATAATACCCTAGTCGCCTTTTTAGTACGAAAACGACTTCCAAACAAGTAAAATTCCCTGAAAATACAACGATTAACGGCGGACAAGAAGCACTTCATTTATTGATATTATCAACAAACCTGTTGAATACACTTGCGTACAGTCTGCCGTGTAGTTTTTTACTAATGCTAACTGAGGTAATTCGATATTTTCATGGACTACCAGTGGTACATCTGGATCCCATTGGAAAATCATATCGTCAGTAGTATGCGACACTGCAATATATTCAATCAATTTTCCAAGAACAGTATAAGTTCTTAGTCAGAAATTTATCGTCTTGGCAGATCTCATCCGCACACCATAGCTAATCTCGATAAATCACTATCCACATCGACGGTTGACATAATATCTAGTTATCGTAGCATAACGCCATCTACTGATATGGTATACGAAGTAGCAAATAGCAGTAAAAGACGACATACTGCCATAACTGGATGTTACATCATTTAATTTCATCCAGAGATGTAATTTAGATATTTGAAATGGCTCTATTTAAAATACAAAATGCAAAATATCTAGGTACATATTTCTATTTTTTATTTTAAATGCATATCTCTAAATATTAATTTCTGTTTGTATTTAGAAATATTTAAACGTATCTTCTATTTTGAATATACCAAATGCAAACTACAATGTCTTAGTTTCCATTTTCACCGCAGTCATTAGAATGTTTTCATATAAATTGATGCCAAATCCTGATTGCTTAATACGCTTTCACTACATTTTTTTTATATCACTGATTATTATTATTTTTTCTTTTTACGAAATTGTCCCTCATTAATTTGAGGTAGTTTATAGTGGGAGAAAATTGAAAATGAATTTTCACATCAGGGGCGGCCTTAACCACTGCGAGGCTCCGGGCGGGTAAATCTTTTCGAGGCGCTTGTCCTTGTGGAATTAGTTTTAATAATGATACTTGACGAGAAATACAAAGTTATTAATAAACAAATTTAGAATTTCAATATTGTTTATTTGAAATTAACAAGAACTAATAAACGCAAAGATTATTATTTAAAAGAATCAGGGATTTAGAAATGTTGCTTGCACTTTCTGAAGTCTCAGAAATTCAAATAAATATTAGTACTATTAGTACCATTATTTCTTAAAATTTTCTAATTGGAAAATTACGCGAGAACGCGAGGCCCCTGCAAGAGCGAGACTCCAGGCGGTTGCCCAGCTCGCCACCCTCAAAGGCCGCCCCTGTTTCACATTAATATTTGATTAAGAGAATGTTAAAATTAAAACTAAAAAGTGTATTTATACTAGAGTAATTAGAATAGAAAGCGTGTTATTCATCAATGTTTACTTCGTTAATCCCATTTCTTTTAAAAAGCAGAAAAAGCAAACATTTAAATGTTTTCAAACATTTTTGTGTAATTAACTTTCTAAATGGCGAAGTTTTCAAAATAAGGACGAACGAGACGAGTTGATAGAAGTTGACGGTAGGTTACGTTTTATGTCTCATTGTTAATTTTTGGAAAATAGTAACACAAAAATATCAAAATATGATGTCAAACAAACCTACGCAAAAAATATTTTTCTTTAAGATGAGCCACTCTTGAAAACCGAAAGTACATACTGTTAATAGTTTACTTACAGCTCTCCATTTGAAGTTTACACTCCTGGGTATCATGTGGGTATATCATAAAATTCATCGAACAAGAAAGTTTCAAAGTTAACCTAAATAATAATTTAAATATTAAAAAATAATACATATAATATATCGCACGTGTCCTTACTTTACCATGTAAAGAATCGTCTTATCTTTATAAAGCCACATGTAATGATTCGGGATGGTCATCGTTTGAAAAATGACTGATTTAGCATTTTTAAAGAACGAATCTGGACGCCACATATTTTTCAGCCAATCCACTTCCAATAAGCGGTATTCGGTGGTCATATTTTCAGGTAACCTAAGTCGATGATCCTTCCAAGTTTGAGCAAAAAATATGTCAGCTGCGTAAGTCTGTGAATTGAAACAGTAATAAATAATCTTATGTACTACGATATTCTCAGAAGGACCTCGCATAATCCTTATGGGAAATCGACTTTGGTCAAATTGGTTCCAATTGGAGTAAGACTTTTTACTCAAAAGTTGTCAAGAGTACAAGATCGCCCAATAAAAAGTTTCTTAGAATACTCTAAGAGGTATTAGGTATGCTGAAAACCATGCTCTATTTTAATACATAGCTCAGAAATTGTTTATTTTTTGATTTCGTAACCATGACAGCTTTTGATCAGAAAGTCATAAAAAACTTCATACTCCAATTGTAGTAAGTTTGGCCGGAGTCAATTTTCCTTAAAGATTGTGCGGGGTCCTTTGTCCCTAGTGATGAACAAAGCAAGATCAAGATCAAGTATGTCCCAGTCATGGTATTGGTGTTAGTCTTGCTTATTCGGTCGTGCTCAAATACTTCTAGCCTCGATCTTGGTTTTGGTCTTGCGTGTTAAGTCTTGGTCTTGCTCATTGAAGCTAATTCTTCTGAGCACAAATTTGTCTATTTATCAACATAATAATTGGCTGATAATGCTAAAATTTTGTGGAGTACTTGCAAGCATGTCATGACTTAAAGAAGATAGTGTCGGTAGTTGTGAGAGTTGTAAGAACTCGAGAACTTACCCTTTCTCCAATACATAAATTGACCCTTCCACCACGTATAAATTGTCTTTTTAGAGAACAAAATAGTACAACACTTGAAAGAAGTAAAGAATATCGGAAAAAAATCGTTTGTCTCTATATTTCAACCATGTGTTGTTCAGGCATAGGATCAAAGAACACTTACTCCGGGGACATTTCTGTAGATCCCTTTTTTCAAATAGTGGTAAAATTTATTTTTTTATATTTAGTATCAAAATCTAGTAAAGCAATGTAAAAATTTCAAATAAGTAGGTACTAAAAATGTTTTATTCCAAGAAAAGAATATATTGCTTCAAATAGTGTAATTCATAAATCCACCATTGCGTATGTGGTCTTGGTCTTGCATATTCGGTCTTGGTCTTACTAGTATATAGTTGGTCTTCATTTTCAGAGGACCAAGACTGAAACCAAGACCAATTTTGCTCATCACTACTTGTCCCTCATTCAAGCTATAGGTTTTAAACCGCATGGTGCAATTCCAATTTAAATTTAAAATTAAAAGGAATAGTTCGTCGAATTCTTTTGATGAAACTTTGAAACATTAATAGATAGAACACTTTCATTTCATTTATTAATTGCACGTTTCGCCTTGTTAGTGTATCTTCAGGAGTATGACATGTACCAAGGCTTCGGAAAGAAGAAATGTTTTTATATATATTAATGGTAAGCTCTAGGAGAGAGTTTAGTTGGCAGGTTGACTAATTTTTTGTTAGATGCTATTGCTTTTTTAATTTCTACTTAAAAATATGAAATACTTGAAGTATTTTGCCTTTAATTATATTTAAAAGCTTTGACATTTAGCGGGTAAGCAGGATTTTCAAGTTAATCGCGACTTATTTCTCATTTTGTTGAGGAAAAGAGGATTTTCTTTTGTTTTTGTCAACATACCATGGAAGTTTCGTCAATGCTGTCGAGTCCCATTACTGTGACGTGGAAGTAGACAATAGTTGGTTTTCCATCTTTCTTCGGTGGCCTCATTTTGTCATAAGTAGATCTATCTTCCGGCAGAATATCATCAAACGTCAAACCAGGCCTAAAGAAAGAAAAATGCACCTTTTTGTCCCTTTTTGCCTCATTGCTAAGTCGCTTTAGCTTGGCAAAATAAAATGCGAGTTCCGCTTAAAACTATGTCAGCCAAGTAGACTCGCGTTCCTTAAAGAAATAATGAGGAGCATTTCCGTTTCAACCGGCAATTATAGTGAATAAAAGCTTCTCGAGTTCTATCATCGATTCACCTTTTAAAATCAAAATAGTCTCGCTACAAGTAGATACATACATATGTATTCCTAAACATTAAAACCCAAAGAATAAACAGAAATGCTAAAACTTAACCAAACAATAGCTACTTTTATACATGTAAAGGTACAAAGAGCGCCTTCAAAGTAAAACGAAAAACAAAGTGAGAAAAAAAATCACACAATCGTGCTAAAGGATTGGTTATAAATAAGAAATTGCTACACATTCCCTTTTACATACTTGGAGTAGCTTTTTAAAGTCGTTCCAAGAACTCTAAAAGAATATTACTCAAATAGTGATGATAATAGACAATAAAATACATCTATTAATTTGCTATTGTAGATATAGAATAGTAAAAATACCAAAAATTAAATTTTCATTTGGCTATTTTTGTACAATTGATCATTTTCCAAATGAGTAAGTCATTTGTAAACAGTGCCGTAACGACAGAGCCCCAGTCCCTTTGGACCCCTTATCTATCTATAGGTATGAAACTTAAAATATTGTTCTGGCAAATATAAAATCATTTTTTATACCTGTTGGGAAAAGTTGTAATCCATGATGTAGTATTGTAAAAATCAAAACCAAAATGGGGGCATAATCTTTACAATCTACTTTTAAAAATCCTTATCCTTACAACAATCCAACGATATAAATAATACAGTGGACGCGGCGGAAAAAAGAAAGGTTAGAAGCCTTCGAAATGTGGTGTTATAGGCGAATGATGAGGATAACGTGGGTAGAAAAGGTTAGAAATGAAGAGGTATTAGAAAGAATAGGAGAACAGAGGAAGTCAATAAAAAATAGGCGAGATAGATTGGTAGGACACCTTCTCAGGCATGAAGTTCTAGTCAGAGACATATTAGAGGCAGAAACAGGAGGGGTAGAGGTAGACCTAGGTTAGATTACTGTTCACAAATAGTTAAAAATGTGGGTTGTTCTAATTTTAGGGAAATGTTTAGCTCACGATAGGAAAGAGTGAAGTTACGTGTCCAACCAGTCTTAGGACTGACGACCCTATGATGATGATGATAATTTTTGTACCACTCGTACAAATGTTTTCATTGCTACTTATCAATACATATGCCTAGAGATGTGCAAAATGATTTGTTAAAAATATTTAAATACAAAATGCAAATACTCTCTTGATTTGCTATTTCAAATGTAAAATACTAAATAGATTTCCCTTTTGTATTTTAAATGCTAAATGCAATCGCTGGATGTGAATTGATTAAGTAAAACTCATATTTTTTTTCTGTTTGATGTGATTGAGATTGAGATATAGTTTTTATATATTTGTGTTATAGTTTCCTCAGTTCAGCAACAAACAATTCCTCTCTATCCTTTCTGATTTGTCTTTGGCACCTGCATTAATTTGAAGAAGGGACTTTTGCCAAAATAGCTTGTTTAGCGTAAAAAAATCAGAACCAAAAAGAGGGTTGTAAATAATTTTAATGATGTAAAATCAGCAGCATTCTTTTTATATCAAAAAATATTTACAATCCCGTTTTGGTTTTGATCTCTTGCACATAGTAATAAGAAAAAGAAAAGGGATCAATAGTTTCATTAGCTTTAGGCTCATCTAATAAATAAGGTTTTTGGAATCGTTTTTTGACTTTTTGGATTATACTCTTATTTATTAGCAGACCACAATAGTTTTCAGATTTACACAGCTGGTGTATATCAATTGGAATTTTTTTCCGACTGTTTTGTTATGATCCATAGAATTTCGCAGTTCTAAACGTTTCTCCGTTCCTGAAGGATCCATCAGTGGTGATAATAAAATGAATTGTGGCCGATATCGATTCAAGAATTCAGATCTTTTTGGACTCTCTTCACCTAAAGAATTGGAAGGCATCCACAGAATGTCTCTTAGTCGCCTTTTTAATCTTCCAATATCTTCATTCGTTTATTTTATATATAATGTTTCATCAGTGTAATAATAGCAAAACTTTTAACGTCAAAGAAGTATTTTGCATTTCGCAAACAAAAAATACATTTGGAAAAATATTTTAAATAAAGCACAAAATGCTTTCCTCAAAAGAGTGTTTTAATACAAAATAGAAATAGGTATTTTTACTCTGTATTTACATTTTAAATGCAAGTATTTAGTATTTAGTAGTATTTATAATTTAGTTTTTCTTTTCAATTAACTCAATTCACGGTGGGTTGGGGCTTGAGATAGTGTTACGTCACTGTTTGTAAAACTTGATCATAATACACATTATGTATAATGATACCGACAATTTTTTTTTAATTAGACATACTAAAATTATTTACAAAACTTTTGAAAAATGAACAGATATATAGGTATATCAAAGATAGCAGATAATTTTACCAAAAGAAGTTGAAATCTAAATATTTTATTGGTTTTTGAGAAAAGTTACTATTATTAATTAACACTTACATTTGATCAGCAACTACTTTGTTGTACAACAGAATAAATATAAATGCGAAAGGGTATGCATTACTTCGTTTAGGCCATAGAGACACTGCCATGTCCGTCAACCTTAAACAAAATGATTTTATCAAAAGTTGAAATAAACTTAGAAACTGGTATTTTACTTAATGATTATTAATAAAAAATCTTTGCTTTTATAAAAAAACACATTTTCTTTTATACTGTGCCGCTCAATTTGAACAGTTGTAATTTTCGTTATATCATTGGTTATATTTTCATTTCTTGGAATGTAAAATAATTGAAAATTATATATTTTACAATACAATTAGTTGCATTCGCATTGTAGTATACTCTATAATAACTTTTATTTTATTTCTTTTATATTACTTATAACTGACTGCGGAAAAACAACAATAAAATAACTTATCAAAAAGTTTAAAAAGTAATTTAGTAATATGTACTTTCAAAAACTATATTTCAACTATAAATTTAATAATACTTTTAACTCAATCGTGACTAGGAAATTACAGTTCTATTGGATATTCCAGACTAAATTTTTTATTAGATTAGATTTAATTCAGATTAGATATTTACTCATAGCAAAACACTTGATGAGTTCTAAAACAGTATTTCAAACGCTTAGATGGAGATTTCTTTTAGTCAGTTTTAATGTTTCAATTTTAATTCAGGTGCTTTTATTTCCAAATTAAAAGTGCACTCGTTTTAATGTAGGGATATTTATGTATCAGATTACACAACAATAAATAAAAGCACTAAAACTACATTATAATAAGTATTAGGTAGATAGAATACCCACCTCATTTTCCACAAACCATTTGCATTAGTAATATAAAGTAATTTTAAATTAATTCTCTGTGGATGCAAAAAGGATTTGATAGTTTAGGAAGTCATTCTGTAACAACAATTCCATACGAAAAAATATAAATATATTAGAAAAAAAATTACAGCACAATTTTGCTATGATCAGTTGATTTTTGAATGCCATTACATCATCAGGACCTCAGGAGCGTATGTAGGCGTTGAAAAGCAAACTGAATATTCGCACAACTACTAAGGGACTTCCCTTGTGAGCGAAGAAGGGCTCATTTTTAAGTTCACATTTACGTCACAACTGAAGTTTGAAATCAGTGCGAGGTCTACTTATGTCCTTTGCTACCCTGTCTCCCCGTGCTTCCTGAAACCGTCGTCCTTCATCAGACATTGTACTCAGCACCTGCCTATCCATCCCTCCTGATACCTTTGACGATAGAAAACCAAGGTGGGCAAGTCAGATACGTACGATCCATTTCATCCCCCCTTTGATGAAACACATACACTCCACTTACAACTTTAGACGACCGACGTAATCATGTCAACACACAATTACATAAGTAGGACATGACGGTGCATCATCATCTTCAACGTTCTAAAAATATAGGAGCACCTTAACTCTTTTTAGAAAGTTACACATTTAATTAGAAGATATAACGAATGTCCTTGGTGCTTTATTCCAGAAATTATTTATACTGTAATGACGTTTTATAAATCGTTTTTGTTCAATTCTTCCGGAATATTTGAGTATAATAAACGCATTGTCCTGTTTTATCATTGCAGAAGAAACACTTTAATGAAAAAAATATTCAATTTAACTTAGATTCCTTACCGTTGCTGTTAAATTATGTAGTTTTTCCCAGGGTGGCGGTCAAATAATTACACAACTATATGTTGATAGAACACTTTCATTTCATTTATTAATTGCACGTTTCGCCTTGTTAGTGTATCTTCAGGAGTATGACATGTACCAAGGCTTCGGAAAGAAGAAATGTTTTTATATATGTAACCTCTGGTTAGTACTGCTACCTTGGGGATAGTTGTTAAGCTTAATATAAATAATCATAGATTTAACTTCATTTTGATTTGGTCAAGTTGACTGTGTTTATGTTATTTTTTAATGTTTTATTTGTGTCAAGAACTCTTGTTTGGTTGAGAAAGAACGTGTAATTTAATTCTTTTATTCAGAATAAAATCACGTATAAAACAATCTTAGAAATTAAATTACAAGATTCCAATAAACAAGAAGATGAACCAGATTTTCGTTCAAGTTGTGAAGAAAGGTGACAAGGATTTTACGATCCAGAATATTTCTACGGATAAAAAAATTTGGTATTTATTACCAAATGAACACAAGGACCTAAAACTCCACACAGTGTTGTCAAGTAAGAAACCTATAATTAACGCAACAACCGCAATTAAAGACATAAANGGATGCAAAAAGGATTTGATAGTTTAGGAAGTCATTCTGTAACAACAATTCCATACGAAAAAATATAAATATATTAGAAAAAAAATTACAGCACAATTTTGCTATGATCAGTTGATTTTTGAATGCCATTACATCATCAGGACCTCAGGAGCGTATGTAGGCGTTGAAAAGCAAACTGAATATTCGCACAACTACTAAGGGACTTCCCTTGTGAGCGAAGAAGGGCTCATTTTTAAGTTCACATTTACGTCACAACTGAAGTTTGAAATCAGTGCGAGGTCTACTTATGTCCTTTGCTACCCTGTCTCCCCGTGCTTCCTGAAACCGTCGTCCTTCATCAGACATTGTACTCAGCACCTGCCTATCCATCCCTCCTGATACCTTTGACGATAGAAAACCAAGGTGGGCAAGTCAGATACGTACGATCCATTTCATCCCCCCTTTGATGAAACACATACACTCCACTTACAACTTTAGACGACCGACGTAATCATGTCAACACACAATTACATAAGTAGGACATGACGGTGCATCATCATCTTCAACGTTCTAAAAATATAGGAGCACCTTAACTCTTTTTAGAAAGTTACACATTTAATTAGAAGATATAACGAATGTCCTTGGTGCTTTATTCCAGAAATTATTTATACTGTAATGACGTTTTATAAATCGTTTTTGTTCAATTCTTCCGGAATATTTGAGTATAATAAACGCATTGTCCTGTTTTATCATTGCAGAAGAAACACTTTAATGAAAAAAATATTCAATTTAACTTAGATTCCTTACCGTTGCTGTTAAATTATGTAGTTTTTCCCAGGGTGGCGGTCAAATAATTACACAACTATATGTTTTTGTAACGTTTCGGTTTATTCAACCATCTTCAGAATTTTGAAGTGTTACTGCTTGTACACAGATATTAACTTATTTTCAAACATTCTATTCTGTATGCAGTTGTTCAACATGATAGAACATTCAAAAATAAGTTAATATCTGTGTAGAAGCAGTAACACTTCAAAAGTCTGAAGATGGTTGAATAAACCGAAACGTTACAAAAACATATTGTTGTGTAATTATTTGACCACCACCCTGGAAAAAATACATAATGAAAGAAATATTATTATTGCATCTCGTTACAGATTTTTTTGAAAAAAATGTTTAAAAAACCAGTGTGTTCTTATCATTAGTTAAAAGACGTATGGGTATATTCGTAGGAAGCTGTAATTAGAATAAATAGCTGGCAAAATCGGTTTTCCTCTTTTATCCACATTTTCTTTTACAATTTTGTAAATTTAGGAGGTAAACATTCTACATAAAAACAGACGATTTTCGACTAAAAACAAAATTTGGCAATGATACTAAGTACTTTTGTAAAACAGGAGTTCATCTTTTTTACAAGTATCAAAACATAAAATTTATCTACTATATATTATCAGACTACAGACAGTATATCGCTATCTAGTGGCATTTTACGAAGCAGTTTGGACGCTTATTTATGGAGACTGATATTCAGTTACAATTAATTAAACTTAGCGAAGCATTTAGTTGCTGGTGCTACTAGTTTCGTTCATATTTTGAAAATAAACTAGACACTAAAACTCATAAAATTTAGTACTCATACGTACATGTAAGAATCATCAAAAATCAAACCAGGTTTATTTTAAAAGAAATTTGTGAACATATGTATGAGTAGAGAATTAGAGCCAATAAGGGTTGTAACCGGCAGCACATTTTATTGGAATAGAAAAACGTTAAAAAATCCTCATTGGTTCTGGTTATCTACTCATATCGAAACTAAGGGGAAGAAATAGAAAACAGAAAATATCTATGAAATGTAGACTATAGTTTATTTGACAAATATTGTAGAAAAAAATGTTATAGCTAAAATTTTTTTTGGCTATATTTTGTCACAATTGAACAGCATTCACAGTTTTGTATTTCAAGAATTATCAGTAATGCATAGAACTTTGGTTTTTCAAATAGAACACTTTTTAATTTTCTAAATCCTTTCAAATTCAGCTTATTTTTTTGCATAGAACTGCGCAAAATCTTTGTTAGAAAATAGACAAACAACCACAACACTCTATTTGAAAAATCAAAGTTGCGACAGATTTTGAAATACAAAATATTAAATAGGTACTGACAAATATATTATCTGAAACATCTTTTTCTGAAACTATAAAAAAAAATTAAACTCGATTTAATTTAGAACAAGAAATTTCTATTAATACCTAAAATAGTTTTTTATAATACATTGTTTAAGACAAATTGATAGGTAAATAAATAATCACAGCTGCATAAATTGCTTTAGACGCGTTGCTTAACTGCCTCCCAGGTTATGTATTAGTTACTAACATACATTATTTATTTAATTACACTTTAAATATTAAATCATGTTTAAAAGTAAATGTAAAATTTACCATAGCAAATAAAGGTGTTTTAAAATACCCACCTCCAAATGCCAAAATATTGAACAACGTTATTTAATTCGGAAAATTCAGATATGTTGTGATTTTCGGGAAATTGGGTTCAGTGTAAGGAAGAAAATAGGTGCGTGCCCAACTAATCTTCGGGCCGAAGGCCCTATGGTGGATTGCCTATGGATATACAACGATTTGTATGAATAAAGACACTTATTATTGAAGAAATTTGATTAAATTACAATAAAGTTACCAAAAATTGCACAATTGATAAATTAGCGTTTTGTAATTTATTTGTCCTTGTTTCAGGTATATTTTCTGGTTTGTTAAAATAATCGGACATTACCTAACAAGCAAATCTCTTTTAGTTTTTAATTTCATTCACGGTCTACTTGTTTCAAATCTTAACAACCAAAGTCCTAATCAGTATCCAGCGTCAGCAAAAAAGCTGAAGCGCGTTGTAGATGTTTTTGAGTAATAAGTTTCGTCGAGGAGCCACTCGTGAAAATAACTTCCAAGCTGGTGCGTACACAAAAGAAAGACCCTTTGCATCAGTTGCCTCATTCACGTTTCGCCTCTGCTACAAGTTGGTCTTCACGCTACTCCCGCATTTGCATAATTGTTTGAGCGTTTTCCTACGACATTTGAATTATTCTGATCCGAACTGGGTTATGTTAATATTCTCAGGTAAACGATCAACGACACTTAGCCTATATTTGTATCTACGTGGCACTGGGTACAAATATAGGAGAAAGAGATGAGGAGTCGGTGGTTTTCAAGAGCAAGATCGCGAACATGCCGATGCTTTAGCTCGTAAGTGGACTCTCAAGCACGATTTCAGTGCAAGCAATTTTCAAGGGCCGCTCGAGTTCGCGATTTTTCGAACGAGAGCAGATCACAAACGAGTCGTCTTAATCATCTCTGCAATAGGATACCGCGACACGTCATTATACCTACACCAACCAATCCTTAACATCCCTTCCACTACCCTTCCTATATAGGTACATGCTTCTATTCTTTCTTCTGCTACGTAATAGTTACACTTAAAACTCTATCTTCCATTTTAACACTCTAGTTTATAGGAAAATACATAAGAACAAAATTATTAAAAGCTAAAAGAAAGACGGGATTAAATGCTTACTATTGAAAATTGCTTCGATCACATTCAGGATTTCTAATTTGAATGAAAGATTTATAGAAGAGACTTAGTTCGCGTTGGTATCCTAGATACGTATCAACCATCATCAAAGGTACACTATGTACACTAAGTGCCTATAAAATTTCATGATGATCTGTTGAGTAGTTAAGGCGTGACATCGACTATATAAAACTAATTTCTTTATCCCTCAAGAATAGTATTTTTTCTGGATAAAAGGTACCCTATCTCCTTTTCTCTACCCCTGACAATGTGTCCACAAAATTTCATGATGATCGATTGAGCAGTTAAGTCATGAAATCGACTAAAACTAATTTCTTTATCCCTCGAGAACAGTTCTTTTTTCTAGATAAAATAGTACCCCATCCCCTTTTCTGTACCCCTGACAATGTGTCTACAAAATTTCATGATGATCGATAGCTAGTTAAGGCGTGAAATCGAGCACATAAAACTATTTTTTTTATCCCCGGGAACAATATTCTTTCTGGATAAAAAGTACCCTATGTGATTTTTTGTACCCTTGACAATGGGCGTACCAAACTGCAGATGATCAAATAAACAAATTCTCATTCGCATTTATAATATTGATTAGGATATCCAAGTGTCCGGTTACTTAATCCTGAGGGTTCTAATAAGACAGTAGAGATTTCGAAAACCGCACTCCCCGCTTCTTTTAATAAATTAAAGTCCTAATACGTTATGAGTTTCACCAACCAGCAATATTAATAACAAAATGATGTATCCGTAATATAATTTTCTTGCAAAACCTCCAGGTGAATGACGAATTTTTTTATTATATTTTATTTTGTATAGATATTTTAATTCATGTGGTTTCCATTATCTGCCAGTTTTTCTGCAAGAGATTCGTAATAAAACTTCTTTTCAAGACCTTTCAGGATTGGATTTTGATCATTTACCACAGATCCTAAAAGGGGTAAGGACGTATTGTAATTCGGCATGGACAAATCTAAAGAAAGTCCCGATATAGTCGATATACTTTAACAACTATATCGAATTCAATTAAATTCGTTGTTGTTTGGCCGTTTTGGGATACAGCCGTTTATTACCCTTGCCCCTGATTAAAATTCAAATATTAAGAACTAAATCAGGTACCGTTACCACCCCCTTGGAGGGAAAACAGTAATAGAGAGACGAGATAACTTTAAATTTAGAGTAAAGTCATTGCATTTAGAGCAATCAAAAGGATCAGTCACCCTAAACATTTATCACCGAATCTCACGTACCAATTAACATAAACAAATTTATTTGATCAACATAAACTTAAACGTAACCCTTAATATTAATATTAATTATTGACTAGTTCTAGTGAAGTTGTTTTATTAATAAACATTAAAATTTAGTTCGAGTTTTATTTCGAACTAAAGAAGTGGCACGGCAGTGCAAAAACGTAATGAACTACTGTATCTACTTGTATCTTTCTATCTAAAGCACGTAGACTTTAAAAAAAATACTGATACTAATTCAACTTTTTTATCAGTGCTTATTAAAAATAGAAGGCTTCTTATCGTCTGCTGCGTCTTCCCTTTACCTAGACTGATTTTTGTAATTGTTGGAATTTTGAAAAACAATAGGTACTTTATAAAAATTTGTGGACAAAGCACTTTCGCTATAGAATAGGAAAAACCTCTGTTGTAAGATAAAAGTTAAGAGTAATTTTCGTATTGTCTGTACTACTTTTGGTAACGTAAGCCTTTTGAACCTTAAAAAGGGTTTAAACTAAGAGGGATTATTTTTGAGTTATGCTTCAAAATCGAGTACTTAAAAAAATTATTAGGACAAGAATGTTTTAATGTTTCCCAAAATTATCAACGTTCTAATTTTGAATTTTTACATTTTATAATTTTATTTTGTTATAACACAATACATTAAACTGAAAATTGTTTATCAGTCCCTGACCTTTTAATCATTTTAAATTGGTGTAGAAATACTTTTTTTAAACAAGAAAAATTTTGTTTTTACTTTAACTTTATCTCAGTAAATCTTATCATATTCGTATACGAGAGAGAAAAAAACAAACGTATGAATATATATATGCACATGTTGGCGTATATTTGAAAATTAATAAATATCTTATGAATTTTTATTAGCGAATGTCTGAAGTGGCATATCGTCTACATTAAAAGGACGAAGACCTCTCCTCGTTTGACCAAAGGCTGCCAAAATAACATGGATAGCTGCGTCACAAGTCGTTTGAACATCTTTCGTTGTTCCGATAGCAGGATTGACTTCTACTAGATCCATCGATCCTAGTCTTTTTGTCTTATAAACATTTTCCATTATATGAATTCCTTCTCTCAATGTCAAGCCACCTCTAACTAAAAGTAAACGAAAGATAAAGTAAACTGGTACTGTGTTGATTTGGGTCTAAAAGCCGTCGACGGTTGGAGTTGCTTCCTAACGTTTTGCTAGCTTCTTCCATCTCCGATGCTGGATGTGCACTGGCAACTTCTCCTGTGTAAGTTGTATTTAAGCTGGTGGGCAGAAGGAGAAGTTGCACCGAGCGGCATGACCTAGAGGTTTAAACCAAGTCCCAGTTTTTCTGTGGTTTCCTTGGACCACTTAGGCAAATGCTGGGGTAGTTATATTCCACAGATAATCTTTCATTCTCTTCTGTCTTCATTTCATCCGTCTTTCTTTCTCACCCGAACTACCACCCACCCATTCCCACGATTCCTGAAAGGAGGCTGAAGAGGGCCTTCCGCCTTACCTACCTTCCAGTGTAACCCGGAGATACTGCGCGCCCACCAGCTTTAGTGGCTGATGGGAATGGAACACCCACAAGTTTTTTTAGGAGAAGTTGCCAGTCCGCATACAGCATAGCAGATGGATGAACCTCTGAAGAAGCTCACCACTAGTACTAACGAAACGTTACGAAGCAACTCAAGCCCTTTGAACCCGAATCAAGACAGCATCAGTTCACCTACTGGCCCCGAAAGCCTTTGCCAATTTGTTAATCGAGGTATATGACGATTCATTAAAATTACGCCATCAACTTACCGGATGTCCCTGTACTCGGAGCTTCTAAACTATCCAAAGAATCGATATCAAAACTCACATGAATTGACTTATTTTGTTCAGGGTCAATCTTATCCAAAGCCATATTAACGACGTCATGAATCCCGTATTTCTCAATATCTTCCATTCCAAACGCTGTAATTCCTAATTTATCAATTATGAGTCTTTCGTAATTATCTACAGATCTAAGTCCAACATAGGCCACATCACGCACAGATATTATGGGCTTTTGCCAATCCATACCAGGCAAGTAAGGCCAATAATCTGATAATTCTTTAGCCAACAGAGCCATGGGCATACCATGAGGATTGCCACTATTAGAAGTTTTGTTAGTATTTATATCTGCATGTGCATCTACCCAAAGAAGACAAACATTTTCGGATTTTGCTTGTATATGACCGTCAACTGTTCCCACAGCTATAAAAAGGAATAAATATACTTTAAGTACCTAGTGGTTATTACATGTACAGAGTATGTAAATAAAATTATACCTATAAAATGTTTCTTTAGAACTTGATTTAAAATATGCCTACTAAAAAGTAAAATATAAAATTTCCTTTAAAATGTTTGGAAGAAACCATGACACAACTGAACAACTAGAAAACTCATTATTCTTCAAAGTAGGACAAAAAAAAGACCAAATCGTTAAAACGTGTGTATACCTATTGTATGATCTCCACCAAGTGTTAAGCATATTCTACCGCTTTCAATTATGTTCCTTACTCGTTTGGACACTTCCTTATTACATGCTACCATGTGTTCATACATGCGAATATTTGGAACACTTTTAGAAATTGATGAATCGACTGAGTATGCTATATCCCCGTAATCGACAACATCTATATAATCATCTGTAATCAAATTAAAAGCAATGTCTCACAATATAGCAATTGTAAAATATAATTAAATATGTATTGTCAAACAAGCAGAAAATTTCGTAGAAATACCGCTTCTAATTCTTCATCATTGTAAGACGATGTAGGCATGCAGACCTGCACTATTATCGTTTTTACCGGCTTCGAGTTTATTTTAACCATAGCTATCCTATCGCTTTTTTGTAAATAACTTTCTACATTTTGCCCTGCTTTCCTACGCATTACAATTCCTACCCCGAATTACCTTCCACCGAAAAAAAAAAAAAATAAAGAATAATAAGGCGCCAGGTGTAGATGGGATACAGGGGGGAATTCTAAAACATGCAGGACAAGAGGTTAGAGATCGTATGTTTATGTTAGTTAGTCACATTTACGAAACGGGGAAAGTCCCAGAGGATTATAAACGGAACGTAGTAGTAACATTACCTAAGAAGAGGGGCGCGGATAGATGCAAGAAATTTCGAACAATTAGCTTAACTTCCCATGCGTCAAAAATCTTAACTAGAATTGTACAGAGGAGGATGGAAAAAAGGGCGGAAGAACTATTAGGGGAAGATCAATTTGGGTTTAGAAGAAATAGAGGAACGCGGGAGGCCATTCTAGCTTTACGGGTAGCAATAGAGAAAACGATAGAAAAAGGAAAGAGTGCGTACATAGGATTTGTAGATTTAGAGAAAGCTTTTGACAATGTTAAATGGGACAAGATGTTAAATATACTTAAAAATGTAGGGATGAATTACAAAGATAGAAGAGTGATACTTAGTTTGTATAAAGAGCAACAGGCAGTTATAGAGCTGGGGATGCAACGTAGAGAAGTAAATATTAGGAAGGGAGTCAGGCAGGGATGCACACTGTCACCGCTACTTTTTAATCTATACATCGAAGACGCCATCAACATCATTAAAGACAGTACAACTGTAGGGATAGATGTGCAAGGGCAAAAGATTAGTATGCTTAGATTTGCAGATGATATAGCAGTATTAGCATCTAGCAAGGAGGACCTAGAGATAGCTTTAAATAAAATGGAAGCGGTACTGACAGATCAGTACTGTATGAAAATAAATAAAAGTAAAACTAAAATACTGGTATGCAAGGGAAGAAAAAGTAGGGAAAGAGCGAATATAAAGATAGGAGACGAAAAATTAGAAGAAGTGGCTGATTTTAGATACCTAGGAAGTCAGATAAGTGAGGATGGAAGGAGTAGTAGGGATATAAAGCAGAGGATAGCGCAGGGTCGTGTCGCCTTTAATAAAAAGAAGTCACTTCTATGCTCGCGAACGGTTAATTTAGAAATTCGAAAAAGGTTGTTAAAGGTGTATGTTTGGAGCACGGCGTTGTACGGGTGCGAAACATGGACAGTGGGAGCGGCGGAAAAGAAAAGGTTAGAAGCGTTCGAAATGTGGTGTTATAGGCGGATGATGAGGATATCGTGGGTAGAAAAGGTTAGAAATGAAGAGGTATTGGATAGAATAGGAGAACAGAGGACTCTATGGAAGTCAATAAAAAATACGCGAGGTAGGTTGGTATGACACCTTCTCAGGGATGAAGGTCTAGTCAGAGACATAGTAGACGCAGAAACAGGAGTTAGGACGGGTAGAGGTAGACCTAGATTAGATTACTCTTCGCAAATAGTTAAGGATGTGGGATGTTCTAGTTTTAGGGAAATGCGAAGCTAGCTCAGGATAGGAAAGAGTGGAGGTACCTGTCCAACCAGTCAACGGACTTTACTAATGTCTACCATATCTAATTCTGGTCTGTTCATATCAAATTTTCTAATTTCCCTACTTGCCTCATTTTCTTAATATTCTACAATGCGACTCGTGAAATGTTGCCTCTTCCCCTATTGCACTTATCCGAATGGGGGACGTTTACGTCCGGAGTGCTTTACCCCCAGAGGACGCCATCATTTAATTTGTATAGTTGTACGTTTTACTCGATATCAAAAAGTGATGGTTTCCGTTGCCTTCCACATCACAGTATTGTGGATCAGCGTGCCATACCGATCCTCGTGATCTCTGCTACCCTGAGTATTGAAAGAGCTGCTGTCCTCTTTCAGGGACTTGATTGATTATGATTGAACCTATGGTCCCGCTCCCTAAATCATCGAAACTCGCAAACCGATCCACCCACTCTAGTTTGTACGAGAACTTCGACAAGTTTCAAGTCCCGTCGGATCGGGAGAAAATGATATGAGAAATTTAATAATTACTAAATTAAGAGGCGAAATCTATAAGGAGATTGTAAATACTTTTAAAATAGTCGAGTCGGAGATGAGAGATAAAGAAGATATGAAAAGATCACAAAGTTATGAAGAAGAGAGCATGATAAAAAAATAGAGATATGAGATGGCAAATGAGAAATGAAATTTAAGTATAAATCATAGTTTTAAGAAATTGTATAAGTTCAGGTAATGTTAATGTAATAATGTATTGATAAATATAAATAAATAAAGTATTATTATTATTATAATGTACATTGGTTTTATTTAGATCTCAAAAACAGTTTGCTCTCAAATATTGAGCTAAACATAAAATAAATAATGAATTCCATAGATAAAGCTTATCCATCATCATATTAGATTAATTAAAACAAATCATTATTATTTAAAATTCTTCATAAAAACTGTTTAATGTTAATGTTAAATGTTTGATTACACAGTCATACGTGAATAACAGTTTTTAAATAATTTTGTGGTTTTTAACTCTTTCCATTTATTATTTTATATTCGTTAATCTACATTAATGCAGTATCATTAAAACAATTAAACTTTCTGTAATTATTATTTTTTTTTTTGCTGAAATTTGTATTGAGGTAACCAGTAGATAATACCGTAAAATTTTCAAAGATATTTCTTTAGAAAAGGCGATACAAGAAAAAATACTAACAAAAATACAGTTCTCATCTGTTTCATGTCTAAAATAAAAATTTCATCCGTTTTACTCTGGAATTAATCTAATATTTTTTCCTTAATTTCAGATCTACTAATGATTTTCTTCGACAAGATGAAATTTATCTAGTTTTACCCTCATACTCATTTGTTTCTGTCTGCTAGTCATCATCATATTTCTTTTGATTTTGACCTTCTGATCGTACATAAATCTAATATTCTAACTGAAAAAATCCATTGCATGGCTTTTTTCAATATCTATACCAGTGAGTGAGAGGTATTTCCGATACGTATGCCAAAAATAACAAAATTGGAAGTGAATTAATCTAGAATGGTATGAGGAGACAACAAAAGCCTTGAAGAACAAGCCAAACAGTGAAACAAACAATTGAATAGCGTAATGATAAAGCTGTTTTTAATCATTAATGTAATAATAATTAGCATTAATTGCTACAATTTTAAGTTGCCCGAATTTCTAACTTAATTTATTAATGTTGCAATTGTTAGCTATTTGATAAATATATATGCATGTACGTAGATATACAATAATTAGATGCCTATAATAATAATTTACAAATTTAAGTCAACTTCGCCTGAAGTGGAACTGGAATCAGTTTTTCTCCTCTTTATAGAATGTTACCGACAAAACCGGACACAGAAATTTACCTACTACTATCTGTCGTAAAACAGGAGCTTTTTGGGGAAAATGACTTCATTGAGAAGACGTAATACAGATGAAATTTATCACTTGCGTTGTTTCTACTTGTATTAGGAAGGTACTTACGAATATTTCGAATTTTCTCCACCAATCCAGCATCCCTTAGAGATTTTGGTCCATTAGCTACACCAGGCTTTGTCTGACCTTTATCAAAGGGTACACCTAACACACCAATTTTTGAAGAAATACATCTTCGCGCATCTTGTCGCAAGTTTAACACAACTCTTTGAAACATATTCTCTGGTCTATAATCAAAACATTTCAAACTGTCGCATGTGATACAGCATTACGTTACTTTCTCCATTATACAAGAAAACAGTAGCTCTTGTGACCTCTGCGTATCTAATCAAAATACATACAAACAGGCAACGTAATTTTGATTACTGTGTGTCAATGAAGAATTTTGAGTTTTACAATTTTACATTACGCATTAAACCAATATGATAGCAAGTAAGCCACGAAAACCTATGTTACGAAACATTTTGTATCAAAACAAACAAAAGTACCTATTTGTTTAATTTAAAATGAAACAACAAACTGTTACAAATTTTATTTATTAAGTTACTATTTAGCAAAATTGTTACACCTTACAAAAGATTTTTAAGAACCTTTTGAAGTGAAACTTCTTTACGCACGGTATTAGGGTAAGTTCGTTTCATGCGAGTTGCTATGTATTGAAATCATGCAACGCATTTTCCCCGCTGTCTGTCCCTATGTATGCTTAGATCATTAAAACTACGTAACGGATTTTAATGCGTTTTTTTTTAATAGATAGAGTAATTCAAGAGGAAGGTTTATATGTATAATACATGCATAATTTAGTAGAGAAACACTGATAATTTTAGAGGTTTGTAATGTGGTGTCGTAAATAAACACATTTTTTGCGCTTACATTACAAACATTGGCTGAACCCTACGAGATAGATCAAAATAATGTACTACAGTATTGTACACCTTAAAAAGGTATACAAACAAGTCTGCGATGGTATATGTCTATCTCTTAGGGATAACCCACAATAACCATTTTTTATCCCTTACTTTTTACGAGAAATAATGACTTATTTACGAAGCGATTTTAAGCAATGCAGCATTAATCTTTATCCAATTAAGTACTTTTAAATACATTGTGCATTTAATATAAATCAATATGGCCCTATACAGCATGTTATTTAAATGAATATTTTCGAAGATATGCAGGGACAAAGTGGTTGCGGCGGTACCGGCCGGTTTGTATTGTCTAATGAAAAAAAAGGTGTGATTGTTGTATATAAAGACATTTTTTGGCATATTTACTATCAGCATTGCACCCGTACGAAGCATAGTGTACAAATAATACCATTAAACCAATTCCTTAACACCTATCCCGGGATGTTTGTGTGTTTGAAGAAGTTTCACTTCAGTAGCGTGTTGTATAATTACACGTTGTATTTTTTTTATTGTGCTTATACGTATATAGAAAACAAAATTCACAAAAAAAATATGAACATTCAATAGTAATGGCATTGTTAAAACAGACTTTACAATTAGAAGGAATAGAGACGCTTGGGTAATGACTTTGAAACATAAGGTAATAGGATTAAAATCCTACAACGTTTTTTATTACATTTTAAGAGACCAATTTCAATATGACCCACTTAAGGAATGTGAACAAAATGAGTACTTTTGTATTTTATCAAAAGGATCGAAAAAATTACTCTTCCAAGAACCTCATAATTTCTGTTGTTAGGTATGCGATTGTCACGGATACTTTACGATGAGGCAGATGTAGAAACGTCTTCCCGCACCAAAGGAATATCGTAAGAATTTTTATTGGAAATAATTAAGCATCTAGAGTCTAGGACATAAAACTAAATGATCAAAATCTGTCCAATAGTTTTTGCAGGGTGCGCATTTATGTAGATTTCATCGTCATATATCGGAGTACAATAGAATCCGCTTATAATGACATCGAAAGGAAATGACAAAGACGTCATACGAAGCGGGCGTCATACAAAGCATAGTTTTAGAAAGTAAATAACTTTCTATTTTGGTTAATTATTTAGTTTAATAGAAAGAAAAACTACAAATTGTATATA